AGACAGAGAGACACTGAAATGCCCAGAATGTATTGAAATCTCAGAACTCACACGCATGTCACATGTACTCCAATAGTGCCACACCTTCCAGTTTGTCCCAAACAGACCTAATAACTGGAAATTGAGTATTCAAAGATATGAACCTATCGAGGCCATTCTTATTCAAACCACCACAGGATTCTGGTGCAGGAGAATTGTCTGTATTCTGTCAATCATGTTTTAATTAAACGCTGATGGCCGGGCAGGAAGTATAGGCGGGTCAACCAGACATGTGGTAGAGGCAGGGCGATGAGAACAGGAGCATTCTGGGAAGGAGGAAGCCCATTGCTCCTATTCCTGTCCAGACCTCCGAGAAGCAAGATGTAATCTACCCAGCTGAGAAAGGTACTGAGCCATGTCGCTATCATAGATAAGAACAATGGGTCAATATAAGCTACAAGAGCTAATAAGTAGCCTGAGCTAATGGGCCAATCTGTTTATAACCTAATGCAAACTCTCTGTGGTTTTCTATGCGGATTGTTTTCTGTGGGGTACTGGGCGGGCCAGATACCCAGTAACCCACACGTTGCAGGCCCCTTCATGTTACAGGATTCCACTGCTTTGGAGCTGGCAGCAGGAAGATCAGGAGCTTAGAGACCATTCTCATAATAGGGGACTTTGATATCAAGACAGCCTGAGATACATGAGAATTATCTAAAAATGAAATGCTGTATCAGGGAAATGAGCCATCTCCATTTTCAGTCTCACCCCACTTTTGCACACCTATCTCATGTGTTCCTTGTATTCTCAGATCTACTAAATTATGACATATACAGCGACAGCAGGATATGACAGCGTAGTCTGAGTTTTATTAACATACCTGTTGCCTCCTCCTCTTTCTATTCTTATTTTTAGAGTCAGGTTCTTACAGTGCATCCCAGCCTGACTTCTAGCTGAGATTTAACTCCCTCACCCACCCTAGTGCTGAGCCCCTGGACTTTTGCTGTTGTTTTAGTTTGGTCTTTGCACTTCAGGGATTGAATTCAGGGCCTTGTGAATGCTGGGCCAGTGTTCCATCCCTGAGCTAAACCCCAAGCCCTAACTCCACATCTTGATGAAGTCAAGAGACTGAACTTCTGTTCTTGTGTGGACACAATGGCTGTCAATCAACATTATAATCTGATTCTTCTAAATTGTTAATGATTATAGAAAATTCTTTACAACTTTTTGTTTGGTCTTGGTTTGGAGGAAAAGTTTTATTTCACATCTCAGACTGGGCTGGAGTTCGCTCGTGTTCAGCGTGGTCTCCAGCCGCTGGCAGTACTCCTTCCTCAATCTAGCAAGTGCAGGTGTTATAGGGATGAGCCACCATCTTTGTCTTTTATAGATTTGATCCAGTACTTTTCTGTTTCTTCCTAAGGCCTTCTTGGTAATAAAAACCATAAAATCCTCAGACAGCTATCTAGCTCTTCATGAACTTTCTGAGACACAATTCCACTCCAGTCTTTGTGCAAAGATTTGACTTTGTGGTCAGGTCTGCCACCAGCCTCGAACCTCATTGACAAGAATGAAGGCGGCCAGGAGAGCACAGCACTGACCATGCTGCTGAGCAGTACGGCAATGTGTGTGAGTCTAACTGTGTCAATACACGCTGACATTTATTTCAACACAGGAACGGCTTTCCCATGAAACACAATTATGGAAGAAATATGAACCAAAAAGGCCATTGTAAATACACGAAGATAGAATATTTTTTCTTGAATGAACTCATAATTTAATATTTAAATAAAATCATCTGGGTTTTTTTTGTGTTTGTTTTGTTTTTTCAAGACAGAGTTTCTCCGTAGGTGTGGAGCCTGTTCTGGAACTAGCACTTGTAGGCCAGGCTGGCCTTGAAATCACCGAGATCCACCAAACTCCTCTCTCTAGTGCTGGGATTAAAGGCATGCCCCACCACTGCTGAATTACAATACAGGTTTTGTAATTCTTCACACAAAGCATGGTGATGTTTGAGTGGCTGATGTATACTCTGCCAACATGTAGTGCTAGAACCTCTGATCTACATGCTGCCCTGTAACTGCCTCTCTGCTGTCACACATAGAGACCCGATGGAGCTCCACTCAAAATGAGTCCCCAGGAGCTGCCTTGCTGGTGGCACACTAACCTAAGTGAGTTCTCATGACAGGGCTTCCTATGTTGTGTCACATGTCTGTCCTGCCTCCTGCCTGGAAATTAGAGAGCCTGGCTGCAGGCGCCTGCTGTGAACCAACCCCTCCATCCTACAAAGTCTGAGTCTTGTTCTTCAGCCACGGGGACCCTGATGCTCTCCAGAGATCTCTTCATTCAGTCTTCTTTGGTAGTGGGCCCTGAGCTCTCCAGGGAGCACTCACCATGGTGGGTCTTCTCTCTCTCTCTCTCTCTCTCTCTCTCTCTCTCTCTCTTCCTCTCTCCTCTCTCCCCCCCTCTTCTGTCCCTCTCTCTATGGCAATCTGACTCCAAATAAACTCCTTTTGCTCACCAATTCTCCAACATGTCCCCTTGAACCAACTACCTCATCCAGAACCTGGAACATTCCTCTTTAAAGGTGAGACAAAATGCAGCATGGACTGACTCATTAACTGAGCTTGGCTCAGATGCACAGCAACCTTCTGTCTCTGCCTCCTGAGTGCTGGGACTGCATCAAAACCATTATTTCGGGCTCTGGTACTCAGTCTCAACAATCCTTTATTACAGTCACAGTGAGAAGGAGACAACCAGACTCCATGTTGAATACCATGGACATGCTGTAAGTTCCTAGAAGCATTCTATTGCTCACATTTCACAACACAGCACAAAGGAAGTTTACAGCATCACTGGCATCTCCATCATTCACTGCAAAATGGAAATCATAGGATTTACATATTTGATAAGAAACAAATGTAGCACCACTACAATTATCCTGTCCAAAATAAATGTGAAAACCAAGTTATAGTCATAGATATCTACAGCATATTAGAGTAAATTTGACATCAGGAATGAGAAATGTTCTCCCGACTTTTGGATGGAATCAGAACATAAACTCTGTAATTATCAGAACAACCATCTATGCAGTGTTCACTGGATGCTTTGTACGCATTGAACTTCCTTTTAAAACACTTACATAACTCATTTTAGATTTGTGAATGTGTCTAGGCCTGTGTGTACTACATATGTGTCAACACAGAGGATAATCTGTAGGTCGGAGTTGGCTGCCTCCTTCTACCATGTGGGTTAAGTGATGGAACTCAGGTCACTGGGCTTGGAGGATGATGCTTTTACCATCAGAGCCTTCTAACACATGCAGATTTATTTTCTCACACTGACTTATAGTATGTATGTACTCTCTATAGAAAAAATTAAAAACAACAAATAATAAGAAAAAACAAACAAAAACAAAAATCCCATAAAGCATAGGCTTTTGAGGTTGCTATTCAGGGTTACACTTCTATGTGGAGTGGCAGGATTAGAACCCAGGTACTCTGAACACAGTCTTAGTGTCTTGACTGAAGTTTTTTGTCCCACTTGGTCCTTAAGCCATTTAGTCCCAAAGAATCACACAGAGGTCTACATTAGTCATAAACTGATTGGCCCATTAGCTCAGGCTTTTTTTAATTTATTTATTTCTTTATTAATTAATTAAAGATTTCTGTCTCTTCNTCAAGTCCCCCTCCCTCGTCAGCCCAAAGAGCAATCAGGGTTCCCGGCCCTGTGGGAAGTCCAAGGACCACCCACCTCCATCCAGGTATAGTAAGGTAGCTCAGGCTTCTTATTACCTAATTTTTATAACTTACATTAGCCCATAATTCTTATCTGAGTTACCCACGTGGCTTGGTACCGTTTTTTGGCAAGGCAGTCACATTTTGCTTCCCCTGAGGCTGGGTCACGACAGCAGACTGTACTTCCCTCTTCCCAGCATTCTTGTTGCCCTTCCTCTACTTCCTGCCTTGCCACTGGCCAATCAACATTAATTAAACAAGTATAAGAAACAAATCTTTACAGGGTAAAACCATTGTTCCACAGCATTTGTGTTTATTATTATAGGTATTTTCTTCTTAGGTTTTGATGAAGCACGGCATTGTGGTTAAATTGACCTACACCTAAGGGCTCATTCCTAGGCTAAAAGGAAACACCTACATGTAATTTTCAAAACTAATAGAAGAGCTGGATAGGAACTTTGTAGTTGGAAGCTGCTTGTTTGTTCCTGGCTGCCCCGACCAGAATAATCACGCAGAAGTTATAGTAATTATAACATTACTCGGTCTTTTAGCTCAGACTTCATATTAACTAACTCTTACATCTTAAATTAATCCATTTCTATTAATCTGTGTATCACCATGAGGCTATGGTTTACCGGGTAAGGTTCAGGGCTTCTCTTTCCTTTGCCAGCTCCATGGCATCTCTCTGATTTCACCTTCTCTCTCTCTCTCTCTCTCTCTCTCTCTCTCTCTCTCTCTCTCTCTCTCTCTCTCTCTCCAAATATATATGGTCTATTCTGGCTACATTCTGCCCTGCCATAAGCCAAATCATCTCCATTCATTAGCAATAAGAGCAAGACATATACAGAAGTACATCACATATCATGACTTTCTGTCATCTTTTGTCAGTGACAGAGGACTGGGGTTGTGGAGACTTGGCAGAGCTGAGACAAGTGGCTCAGTAGCAGAGCACCTCCTCAGCATGCACAAGGCCCTGGCTTCCATCTGTGGCACCACAAAACAGGAAGTGCATGTTAGCTGTGGTCTTACCACATCTCATGAGGAAGAGACATTGTCTTTGGGAATTTGGGAAATGATGAACTATTATTTTCTTGTAAACAGACAAGCAATTGGATCAATGAAAAGAATCCATACTGGTTTGCATTGAGAAGGGAAGGTTATTAAAATAGAAAGACCAAAGGGAGTGCTAGTGCTCACTTACTAGCGCAAGGTCATCTGATATGGCTGCAGGGAATGGAAACAGTCTCAGATTGAGGGACCACAGCAAGATAAAGGCTGTCACAATTTTATTGAGAGCAATCAGACTTTTATACCTTTATCAGAAACAGATCATAGTGGCAATTGCCAGGATCAATGCAATTTGCTTTTCAGGTTTACAGGTTACACAGGGTACTCAAGATTAATGCCTAATACCTATTGTCCTGTCAAATTTCCATGCTTCCATGACTATTAGGGGGAACAAACAGAGAATGCAATATAGCCTGAATGTTTCATTCCTGAATGAGTGCATTTATCTCTTGGGTATAGGAAGGCACAGTGTACCCCAGGAGCCACGGACTCTAACATGAAAAACCTATGACTCATGCCTCTCTAGGCAGCTAGGCCAAGGCAGTTTGATGGGTCCCTGTAAGCAAAGACAGAAAAAAACGTTAAAATGATCCCACAGAGCTTCAACATATGAGATTCATCAGACCTGTGACACTGTGCAGATATGGGGAAGGGCTTAGGAGGGCGGCCCACAGACTGTCAATGGCTCTGAACAACCCATAGGATTAAAATATGGATAAACCGCATTAGGGAAGTTCGGTTTACAGAATCTATAGATGAGTGCTCCACGGTTGGAAACATCATAAAATGAGAGAGTGCAAGCTTCACAATCCAGGAAAACTCCAACACGAGTGGGAGGATGAGTCAGAGAGAGGAGCAAGACACTGGCCTTGTGGGTTACAGAACATTCATCAAAGGCATTATATACAGACTTGTTCATCATCCCTATAACCCAGTAGCCATATTTGGGCTGATAATTTACATGTTGGTTAAGATAAGATTTATATTTGACTTTGATGCCTTGTTGATTCATTGAAGGAAGCTGGGGTTTAGCACATATTCCATCATTTATTCCCAGGAGCCAGGCATCACATCTAGACACGTCTACTTCCCAGTAATGTTTCCCTGAGCGCAGAGCTGGAAACCCCAGGACACCTAAATCATAGGACTCAGAAACTTGCAAATTTCTTCCATGACCACTTGTATGTGATATTTGTCTTTTGTCCACATTAATGACAATGTTTTTAATGTTGAGTTGACGCAGGATCACGTGAACTGCAGAAAAATAAAACATAAATTAAGAGTCACATGAGAAACAGTGTACTGCCTTATTTGTGATTTAAGTAGAGAGGCCTGAGAAGAAAGTGAGAGGGAATTTGGTAGAGCCATGTTTAAAGTCAAAGAGAGGCAGATGCTGTGCATACTGGGAACAGTAACATAAAACGTAAGTATTTGTAGAGAAATAAACTCTGATAAAGACATTAAGATGAGAGAGGCTGATGGTGGGATTTCTCCTTACCCCAGTGGTGCTCGGCATCCAGGAGCTCTGAAATGATGAAAATGCACAGCATTAAATGCAAGCAAGGGAATCAGAACATTAAAGTCAATGTGCTCTGCAGAGTGGGGGAAGGTCTGGAAACAGTGACATGGGACGGGATGAATGATGCTGTCCATTATATACGATGACATCACTGGGACACACTATCTGATCTTCTACCCATGATCAGAGACATCACTCTCTATCCAGAGAGTACAGCCCCAGCCACCCCTAGAGTCTCCCAGTTAACCACAGAATGTAGTTGCTCTCACCTTGAAACACTTGCAGTCTGCCCTTCAGATCCGGAGCTTGGAAGATCTTTCTCTCCTTTCTAGGGGCCATTTGGGGCTGTTTCAGTTTTAAATTCTGACTCCTAGGGACAAAAGATTGAATTCCACATCTCAGACAGTGTGACCTCTGACCACCATGGACTCCCTGTCACTACCTATCATTCTAACCATAGTGGTCCTGGAGCTCTCCTGAGAATTCTGAACAGGGAGAGAGCAGGTAGATACTAACTCTGCAGATGTGAGATACACACTCATGACCTGTTCCGCTTAATTCCTATGTGATGTTGGGAAAACCTTACTTCTCTGGAGCTGAGCTCCTTACTTGTACAACCAAAAACTTGATCCCTGAGTTTGTATTTTTCCCTCCTAGGCTCTTAAGAAATGAAGAATTTTCGGATTTTAAAACAAATCAAACTTAGGCGACTAAAAAAATCTTATGTGGGCTCGGAATGGAGTCAGAAGCCTTTAATCCCTTTACTCGGGATGCAGAGGCAGGTAGATCTCTGACATCAATGCTAGTCTTGTCTATAGAGTGAGTCCATGTCCGTTAAGGCTACACATAGAAACCCTGCCAGAAAAACAACAACAACAACAGCCAAACAGATCAACAAAAGCAAACAGACAGTGAGACACAAATAACAAAGAAAAAATAAAAGAATAGATAAATAAGTAAATTTCTGTTTTCCAGGACCAACTAAAGTCAGGGTACAGAAGCTGCTCCTGGGTAATAGAGTCATGAGTGTGGAGAACCCACTGTAGAAAGCCAGGACTTCAAACACTTTCGTAAATCTGGACACTCTTGGCCAGCTTCTCCCTTTTCAGGTTCCTTTTTAAGAGATGACAGTTTTTGAAAAGAAGACTGAAATATCAAACTAATGCTGATACTGAATATCCAGACCTCAGTACAAGGCAGTCCCAGTCACTCAGTAAGTTGTGTCTGCCCCTTACCTGTCCTTAGTTGTTGCCTGACCTTGGAGCCTGACCTCAGTCCTAGCCATAGGGAGAAGCCAATCAGAACCCAGCAACACCTGACCCCACAGGGCAACGACAATCAGAAAGGGACAAACAAAAGTAGATGTCCTCATGCTGAAAATCAATACTTCAAGTTCTTATGGCTTGAGCCAACCCCAATTGTGTAACTATTTTATTTTGGAGGGCTTGGGTTTGTAGCTATGAGTGCAGGTTTGGAATTATCCAAGCCCTTCTCTTTTTGCCTGGCCACCATACCCTCTCCCCTTTTTCTTTTCCATCAATTTTGTCTCTTGGTGGTATTTTGGAGATCAGGTTTTGGACACAAGATCTTATGTTTGCTGCCGACAGTCTGGTTGTGCCTCTTTACACACAAGGGCACAGCTTTCCAGTCTTTTGAAGTGTGTGGTTCACACGAAGAAGTTGTGCTCAGTTTTCTATCCCCATGAGAAATACACAGATCCACAGGAATTTTTCCCAGTTTACAATTCTGTGAACCCTGCAGACAAGGAACACATACCCTATCTAGGATAAATCTGTGAATCAAGTACCTGTGAGCTGCAGACAGAGCCAGACATAAGCACAGAGCACAGACAGAATGATGGAACCACAGGGAGTCTGAAAGATCCTGTGGCTCCATTTGCCTCTTACCACTGCTGAGCCTGACTCTGTGACTCCCCTTACACAGATCCCCAAAAAAGAATCAAATCTGTCCCCAATAGTTACAAAACAGTAAGAGGCTGCCTTTTCCCACCTCCTCCTCCTTCTTATTGGAACTTCAGTATAACATTTGTCTAAATTCCTCCAAACCTATGAGGCATACATTTCAGCTGAATACTAAATCATTCTCAACAGACAATAGGACTGTTCATCCCTGTCAGCCCAAACATACCTTGTTAAAATGCAATTAACACCCTAGGGGGAAAAAACATAGTTAATAGCATGTACTGAATGTTCTTGTAAATCCTGGTCACAGGCTCACTGGGTACAGAGACAAAGTCAAAAGAGAATTAAGGCCTGTTACCCACAGTTCTCTAAGTCATGATATGCACACGATGCATGGCTCTGTACCTGACTTATATGTAAATTAATAGACTATTTTCTGTCTTGTACTATAAGACTTTGGAGAACAAAGATGAATAAATTATCATTTGAAAGTTTACATAGGATTTACTGTGCATACAACTAAACACGTGGACAATGACACCATTTATGCTCCATATTAGCCCTTCATCACTTAACTTAAAACTAACGTGTCTGAGAAGCTGATTTCTACATTATTTTAGTCATTTAGGCACAATTTAATGTGTTCGGAATGAAGAAGATTGTCTGATCCTTACATCCAATTAACCGTATCTCTTGGTCTCTTTTTTCTCTTTCTGATGTTGGATTCCCCTCTCTATTATGTGAATATGTTTTATTACCATTGGTTAAAAAAGAAACTGCTTTGGATCTATGGCAGTGCAGAATAGGGCAAGGCAGGAATTCTAAGCAGAGATAGAGGAGAAAGAAAGGTAGAGTCAGGGAGATGCCATGTAGCTGCCAAAAGAACAGCCACCCTGGAACCATACTGGTAAGACACGAACCTTGTGGTAAAATAGAACGCAATAGGAATTGGTTAATTTAAGATGTAAGAGTTAGTTAATAAGAAGCTTAAGCTGTTGACCATGTGCTGTAATTAATACAGTTTCTGTGTGATGATTCTTGTAGAGTATGTTGGCTGCAGTTACTACCTACGTTAACTAGCTTAGTTTAGCCAGATATGTCTAATTCTATTTAATATAGGTTATAAATGAGAGATAGCAATAAAAATTAAATCAATACAATGGAAACCAATAAATTAAATGTGTATGATAAGTTACCAGAACTACTAAGATCTATAAAATTCACAACAGAGATGAAAGAAACGAATTCCTACAGAGATATTCATTACCAGAATATGCCTTAGGTTTAAAGTGTTTAAAAATGCAATAGTGATAAAATATAATACAAAGATTATACTTGTAAAGATAGAGAAGACACCTTTCATCTCTGCAAAGAAAACAATGGAAGAAACACTCTCTGAGATCTTGGGTGAAAACTCCCCTCCCTCTGGCCACATCACTGAATCAGAGGCAGTGGGGGTGAAACTCTCCAATTATCAAATTCAGATGAAATGACAAATTACAGTTGAATATCTTTCACGCATGCTCACATTGCAGTCGGATAGTAACTACCTATGATGCAACAGATCTCTCAAGGTTCTGCTACTGTACTGTATTTAAAAACTAAAACATGCAATTTCCTTTAGCATTCCATGTGAGCAATAACTTCCCAGTCTCTGAGATTGATGCAGGAAAGAGTTCTGGGAGAGCCCAGAGAGCCCTACTGGCCTCCCCGGGGAGATCACAACAGCACAGAGGGAGGGAAATGGCTTCCAGGTGTCCTGACTCTCAGATGCTGGACCTGCAGTCTTACCTGCAGCATCTCTATGGTTGAGCACACAAACTGATGCTCCAGATCTGAGATAAGGTCTCTCACTGACTCCCACTGCTTCTCCAGCTCAGTTTCAGAATCTTTCAGGATGTCTAGGATGTCTTCCTTCTCTTTTATCAGCTTCTCCACCTCATTCTTCTCCATGGAGTCCAGGAATTCCCGCAGTCCTTTAAACTCTTTCTGAACATTTTCTACCTCACTCTGTATTTGGTTCTTCAGGGATAACAAAACCGAGAGTTATTCAGACTGTCCTAATGGGACTGAGAGACAGAAATCCACTGTTCTGATAAGGAGTTATGGAAAATGAGCTTGAGTAGGCAAGGTCATTCAAGGCAAATTGGGATACAAGGCTGTGGCTCAGTTTTCACACAGCTGTCCCCGACTCCTATTCCTGCCTGTTTACTCCTGATCCTACCTCTGAACCCCTGAGAGAAGCAAACTCCAGGAACAGAACCATAACAGTTCCACAGTTCCAAAGCATCTTCCCAATGATCACAGTTTTAGGAAGCACCACAGGAGCGAGTCCCAGGACTCAGTGCCATTCTCACCAGGCCCGCATCATGATGTCAGCTCCTCACACAGCCAGGCTCAGCTCTGATGCATTCTCTGTGCAGCCCCAGCTCCAAGGGAATAGGCAGAGAGGACTAATCAAGGCCTCTTGTCCCCATCAGCCTCTAGGAATTGAAGAGCCAGGGAGCTTCTTTCCCAAATCCCTCCCATGCGTCAGGCTAACTCCCTTAGTAGGTAGGGTCCCCACTTGCCTCCCAGGTAGTTCTCTCCTTTTGAAGGTCATCTTTCCAGTTCTCTAATTCTTTCCTGTCTGACATCAGTTTTTGCTGAGCCACCTGGAGCTTCCCCTGTGGGAGAGGAATTGCAGCAGAGTCAAGCTGTGTGCTTAGTAGGACAGCTGCTTTTAGCCAAAGGCCAAGAAACCCTTCTGGAAGGTCCGGAGGTCTAAGACTGTTCTCTTTTTAATATCTTGTGCCATGATTTATGCACATAAAGTAGGTAAATCTTCATCTTCAGCTCAATCCATTCTTGTATTTACACACACAAGCCCCATACAGACAGACACAGAAATCTCTCTCAGTCAATCATCCCACCAAGTACACACCTGTCACTTTGATTTTGGCATCAGAAAACTGAGGAAACTTTTTTAGCTCCCCTGGTCTTTCCTATAATATATACACGCATCATAAGTCCCACAACTGGCTCTCCAATTTTTTTTGAACCTGAATCTTATTATGTAGCCCTGGCTGTCCTGGAACTCCTCTGTAGACCTCCATACCCTCAAATTCATCAGCAATCAGAATTCTGGAATTGAGTCATGTAACACTACACAGGACACACAGACACTCTCCTCACTGCCGTATGCCATTCATTTACTAGCCGCACTGTTGAGAGTTACGAGACTGAATTAAATCGTATGAATGAACCTGACATGAACATTGAAAAAAGTCTACACAAAGTGGAGAATTCCCATCTGTTACTGTGTCCTGCTCTGTGTCCCACACCCTCCCATTTCGTACCTCATACTCTTTGACCACCTCTTCAATGAGAGCTGTTTGGTGACCACGGTGATCCTGAGATCTCTCACAAAGCCAGCAGATGGCCACCATGTCCTTCTCACAGAAGAGCTGGAGTTTCTCTCCATGCTTTGCACAGACATTCACCTTCTGCTCCTTCTCTGGGCTGGACTTGAACTCCTTGAGCCGCTCCACTATGTTAGTCATATGCCAGTTAGGCCTCAGATTCCCAAACAGGTAACTATCTCTGCACACAGGGCAGATGCCCTCCCCTTCTCTGTGTTTGTTGGACTCATAGTTCAGTGTGATGCAGGCTCGGCAGAAGCTGTGACCACAATCTGCATTCACAGGCTCCACCATGAGGTCCAGACAGATAGGACAGGTCACCTCCTCCTTGACCATCCCCAGGACTGATGAGGCCATTGTTGCTGTGATGCTGAGTCTGTCTCTCTGTACTCCTGACACTTCTGCTCAGGTACCTGAGTGACTGGGATAATGAGAAGGGGGACAAGTGAGAAAGGGAAAATCAGTACTGAACTGTGAAGAGATCAATGAATGCCCTCGATGATAAGGGAAAAGTACAAAGGAGAGAAATACGGAGAAAAGTTCAATGACATGGCAAAGCAGAATGCTGTCATCCTTTCAAGTTCTCTGCTATATTTCATCCAAAATGACCAATTTAAGATGCAGGATTGTTATTTCCTTCCACTGAAGACCAGGAAGATCGTGTTTTGTTCCATCATTCTCATGTAACCAACCTTCTTTCCTTTCTTTTCTTTCCCAGGACAAAATCACATCTTCAGTGTTACAAGCATCAAACTACTCACTTCTCCCCCAACTGTACTTCGTCAACACCAGTCAGTGTGAGCCTTTGATCCTCTGCTTACCAGTCTCTTACCACAGAGCCTGGTGCTGATGTGGAGTGTACACAGCCCATCTCCTGATGCACATAAGCAACGATTTTTCTTATTGTCTAAGAGTGCTTATTACTCTGTAGAAGACCCTAGTTGACTTCCTGGCACCCACATGAAGCAGGTTACTGCTACCTGTGACTCCAGCTTCAAGGAATCCACCAGCTGTGACTATCCCAACTATCCTTTCAAATGTGTATACACATAGGCAGGCCCACAAATATACAACTCAAAACAAAATGAAACTTAGTTTACTTGTTTTGTTTTCCCTTTTTTCTTTATAGACCAACAGTGTTTGGTTTTTACCGTAGGTCTCTTCGAAACCTAGCCTCTGGTTCTTGGTTACCAATGCAATGTCTAGTATTGGTTCATTCCCTTGGTGCAGCCTTTTGTCAAATCCGACCTTGGTTGGCTACTGCCACCAGTTCTGTGCCACCATTGCACTAGCATATCTCACAGGCAGGACAGACTGTAGTGAAAGTTTTGTGGCTTGGTTGGTGTTTGCATTTCTTTTGGTAGCCTACAGAGGACCTTCATTCACCAGAGAGACTAGAATGTAGAGGTGAAGGCTCCTTGTTGGCACCAGCTCAACTTCTTCATGTTTGGTGAATTCTGTGGGTGTGCTCCTAGGCACGGAGAGTCCACTGTCCTTTTCTAGAGGGCAACCGTTTTGTCTTATAAAGCATGATTAATAAAAACTCAGAGAGAGATACTGAGGTCCAATTCGAAGATCAGAAAAGCAAAACAGCCAGTGACTGGCTCTTACCTCTCCCTCAGCCCTAATTGGTGATCCTGCCTCCAGAGATCTCAGTATGAGCCTGAGTCTGAGCTATCACCTCCTGTTTTATAATCCTCTTTAATTCTGGGTTTACAGGCAAGCACAACTACTGCCTGGTTTTTATGGCAAACTAGTGTGGTTACTCTGATTAAAGATGTATGCCACTGTTGCCTGGTAAGTGAGGCTGACTGTTGGTGGGAATCGTTTGCTTTCTAAATTTCAGGCAAACTTTACTTATTAAAATACAAATTAAATTCCACTATGTCCAACAACTCTATTGAATGCAATAAAGTCCAACCATTGAAAGCCTTGTTTGATGACAAGCAATTGCCCTTTGGGACTTCACATCCTCCATTAGTAGGAGACCTCATTAGAATTTATTAATATATTTTAATATATTTTTAAATATATTAATATGTTTATTTAATATATTTTAGGACGTTTCCATTGCAGTAGGTTGCTGTATCATCCTTCAAATGCTCCCCCATTCCAGCAAAATTTATCTTTTTTTTTTTAAAAAAAAGATACTAATAAAAAAAACTAGGTTTGTTCAGTTCAAACAATGTGACTACAGACAGAGTGTTTGTTTTGTGGCTGGGGTATGTGATAAATAAGGAAAACTTCATTCTGTGTAGACATCCATTCTATATTCCTAAAAGAGAAGCTCCTGGCTACTCTCCTCCTTGCTACCCTCCCCCAAATTGTAAAAGTGCTATGAGATAAGTAACTGCTTCCTCTGGCTTCAGGAACCCATTTTACTGCTGTGTGAGAGAGCTCCTCACAGCTGAGGGAGTACCAGCAGTTTCTCACTCAGCTACACATTCCACACAAATGAGATCATTGGCTGCCCACCTTAAAACACCCCTCCTCCAGTTCATGTGTGACAAGCCTTTGATTTGTCCTTTAGGCTGTGGTTGTCCTACTAGGAGTAATTAATAAATCCAAGTAATTATAATTTAAGTTGAGTCTGCAGTCTTTTCCTGGTGAATTTGTGCTCTGTAATGTTATGCCCAAATCCGCAAAGTCCCCACAAAAGCCAACAAGGAAACCAAGAGTCCCATATGTAAAAGCAATGAACCTTAATTTTAATAAAGTTTGCCAACTTGATCTCTCTCCATGTCCGACGTATTAGAATAAACGGAGAGCCCCGAGCTCAATTAGAATTGGGTTTTTATAGTAATAAGGTGGGGGTGAGGGGTCTCATAGGTTCAGGACTTCTGATTGGATGACATTTGTCTAGAGTTGTCTTTGTGAATGTGTGCTGGCAGGTAATCCTATCTACAGCTTTGAATGATCTGTTCTTGGGTGGTGGTTGGGTAATCTCAGCTTGTGTTTCCTCCTGCAACCAGGCATTGCTTTTAGGGTAAACTACTGAGACTCAGGCCTCTTATTTCAATTAATGGATGACCAGAGTTCTACTCTGGCAGGTGATAGTGGTTGGAAGTAAAGAACTTTTGGGTGACCTGTCCATTCTTAGCTTATCATGGCTGACCCCTAGAGAAACACGTAAAACATGTTTTTTATTTATTAATTTTTAATTATGTTTACATCCTGACCACAGTTTCCCCTCCCTCCTCTCCTCCTAGTCCAACTCCAAAGCTCTTCCCTTCCACCTTCCCATCAACTCCTCCTCCCATTATGTTCAGCAAAGGGCAGGCCTCCCATGGATGTCAACCAGCCATGGCCTATCAAGTTGCAAGAAAAAGCATTTTTTTTTATGATGAAACTTCAAAGTACTGAAGTCATATGAAAAATGGTTCTTTTTCCAAATAGGCTGGGCAAAGAAGTTGTCCCAGGACTCATTTACAAAGTAGCATTATCTGGAACAACCTAATGTGTATTCACTATATGCTGGCAAGTTTAAAACCTGGAGAACTCTAATGTGTGAATTGTAATATCTCATATCATAGAGCAGTAAAGAGAGTCGATGCCTAAGATCAGGCAGGAGGGGTCCACAACTGATGAAGAGCAGGGGAGAGCTAAGGGAAAGAGGATGGGCTCTTGACAGTTCTCTAAGACAACCTGGACACAGGAGACCTGGCCCGTGTCCTCTGGTGTCTACATTAGCTTGGTTGGAGCTGGGATTCCCTGCTCCCTGTTCTTTTGCAGATCTCAGGTTCTTCCTATCAGCAGACATCTTTCTCTTTATAGCATTAAAATCAGTCAGGAGCTTGTGCTGTTCCGGAAAGGCAGAAATGTCCTGGGGCTGCAGTGTTCACCTGTAATCCCAGTGTCTAGGGAGGGTGGCACAGGTCTGTTAGATCAGGTTAGCCTGGGCTATATACGGGTACCGTGTCCCAAATGAAAAGAAAGGTTGTGACTTCAGTAAGTGTGGGATTCCAGTGTTCTCACACACAGTCTCTTTATTCCCTGTCACCTCCTCTGTCTCTTGGAATCGAATCCTGCGCCTAGTGCAAACTGGAAAGTGCCTGCCAACCCAAGAACACCATTTGGGGCTTTCTTTCTTTCTTTCTTTCTTTCTTTCTTTCTTTCTTTCTTTCTTTCTTTCTTTCTTTCTTTCTTTCTCTCTCTCTCTCTCTCTCTCTCTTTCTTTCTTTCTTTCTTTCTTTTTTTGTTCTTCTCTTCCTTCCTTTCTTCTTCTTCTTCTTTTTTTTTTTAAAGACATTATCTTTTGGATCCGAAGAAATGCCTTGAAGTTTTGATTTTTCTGCATCGTCTTTCTCTGTAGCAGGAATTACTAGTCTGAATTTTATTTAGGCATGGACCAAGGGAAAGGCATGCAAGGGTAATGACCTTTAAGTATCATTAGCAATTCTCTACAGACTTGAGGCTTTAAACAGTTCAAGTAAATGTATGAGAGGCTCCAGAAAGATTGGGACTTCTAATTACAGAGACAGAAGCAAAGGTACCGATATAGAACCATCAGTAAATACACTACTACACAGCAAGACCTACAAGTCCACATTCAGACACCACTCTGACTTTACTCCAACTGTGCAATTTGAAATTTTTCTTTGTCAAGGCCACACCTCCCTCTGCCCTCTAACCCAGCACTCAGCAAGGAGCCAGCATTTCTTCTTTCCTGGCCCTTATCAGTTTCAAATTAAACTCACCAGAACAAAGAGTGTTTTCTTCCAAATTCTGCCCTCTAGATTTGCTCTCAGGCCTTCAGACACCAACCTGGAGATCCTGAATCTGTGGAGAGGAGCAAATGGAGGCCACAGTGTCCTGAGGACTAGGTCCCTAAGTCTGATCTCTGCTGAGTCAGAAGAGAAATAAAAGTTAAGACACTAAGGGCTGAAACTGAGAAAGAGAAACTAAATAACTACCAGCCAATGGGATGCTAGCACATTGGTATCTGGGGTAGTACCATCAGAGGAATTCAGTTCCCCTATGTCAGCTCTGCCTTCTGAACTTCTGACTGTCCCCTATTGTCAGTCTGAACTTCTGAACTTAGGACACAGTGCTACAGGAAGTTGTCAGGTTACTTGTTCAGGCTCATGTTATGATCATCTAAAAATGTCTTGATCCTCTGGAAAGCTGCCCCTATGGAAAGAAAGCCTTCACCATGGAGGAAGCTGCAGTTCAGGGCAGCTGCTAACAATCACTCCTCTAGAGAATCCTGATTAATACAGTGCTGAATCAGGCGTGAGAGGTCAGAACTTGGGACATGAACATGAAGCACAGGGTGGGGAATATTGGTAATGGCCACATCTATTGAAACTTCAAAGTCTGCTCCCAGTGACACACCTCCTTCAATAAAGCAACTCATTTGTTTTATATCCTCTCTGACCTACTGATAAGTGACATAAGGTGTGGCAGATAAGCAGACGTGCCACCACAATTTGAATTTTACTTAACATACTTGTTTTTCCTCCCTCTTCTCCTCTTTGTTTGAAATATGGTCTCATAGTAGACCCTCGTTTGACCTCTGAGCTCCTGCTTCCTCAGCCTCCCCAGTGCTGAAATCGTGAGCTTCTGCTCTTCCTGTTTTAGTTTGATCTTTGCCCTTGTAGGGATTGAGCCCAGGGCCTTGTGAATGCTGGACTAGTGCTCCATTGCTGAGCTAATCCCTTGCTGAAGCTTCATATCTTGAGATCATGAGCCTCTACTGTAAGTCTTCTTTTAAACTTATTACACATATTTACTTAATCTATACAGAATCGAGTAGATAAAATCAGATTCATGTTAGTGAAAAATATCTACAAAATATATTTGAAAAGCAAAACAGAACTGCCTCTTAACAATTCACATCCTCATGAGAAATGTGGGCTGTAGAAGTAAAGCAGTGTGCTTAGCACAAACTTGAGGTTATCTGGATCAATTTTTCAGTTATTTCATCTGCAGTCTGAAAGAGGTAGATTTTTCTGCCACACCTGAGAACTGAATCGTGATAACCAGGTGTGTAATAAAGGCAGTTGCATATATAACTAAAAAGTACTAGTCTCAAGACCAGGAAATGTACTTTTACAAGTCTGAGGAGGAAATGGCCTGATCCAGTGTTGTACAAGGACAGTGGCCTTTTGTTCTGTTCTGGCCGCCCAGCTAACTTACACCCAAAATAACTGCACAGAAATTGTATTAATTAAATCACTGTCTGGTCCATTAGCTCTAGCCTCTTATTGGCCAATTCTTACATCTTAATTTAACCCATTTCTATTAATCTGTGTATCTCCATGCTACTCTGGCTTACCAGCAAGATTTTAACCAGCTTCTGTTTCAGACCAATAATCCATGGCGACTGCCACTCTGCCCTTCTTCCCAGCATTCAGTTCTGTGTTCTTCACCTACCTAAGTCCTGCCCTATCAGGCCAAGGTAATTTCTTTATTCTACCAATATAAGCAACACATAAACAGAAGTAACTCCTACATCATTTCCCCTTTTCTGTTTAAACAAAAAGGAAGGTTTTATCATAGTAAAATTACATATAACAGGTATCAAGCAAGAATTAAAGTTACAATATTTCAATCTATTTATTTTTTATCATAACAATGGAAAACTATAACTATCTACCTATTATTCAACTCCATCAAAGACTCCAGAAGGATATAATATTACCTAAGTAAACAGGAAGTTCATTATAAGCAACTTCCAAAACTGTAGAAATGACAGAGACATCTCATTGCCTCTACAGTCACCAAAGTTCTTTTGTACCATTGGGATATCCATCTTCATAGGCCCATAGTATCCAGCAGACTTTTCCATGAAGCAGGGAATTTCAAAGACAGTTCAGTTACTGTTTTCTGTGTCCTGCAGAATGTCTTGCAGACCCTTTTATAAAGCAGGAACCCTGAAGGATCATCTCACGTTTTGACAAGTTCAACAGTCAATTCTCTGTGGGTTTTGCATGTCCAGTGAAGCAGTTCAGGCAAGATCAGTTTCTTGCCCAAATGGCTAGCAAACTCCATAAGGAGCCTCTTCGATGCCCATCTTCTTCTTGAAGTAGCTGGTGCTGCCAGGAGCAGATTTTTTTTCATTGTCATGAACAGCTCAACATATTAAAACAATTTAAATGCCATATTCTATAGTCTTTGAAAGATATAAATAATGCCTATCTAACTGAAATCTCTCTCTATATATCTAGATAATCTAACATGACTACATGCTTGACTATTATTGATGATTATCCATTAACAACCTATATTTCCTAATTATACATTTTTAAATGAACTACACAATCACAATACCTCAGTCAAGAGCAGAAATATACATATAACAAGATTCACCTTAAATTTATATCAATAAAGCAAGATCCATACCAATGCAAATTATTCATATCTATATCATATCCCCCTTTAAATGCTTTTTCTTTTTTTCTTTCTTTTTTAATTTTTCCATTTAATTATTTACACTTCCTTCCCTCCTCCCAATCTTCTTCCACTCCCCTACATCCCCTCCTCCCTCTCCCACCCTGCTTGAGAGAGGGCAGGGAACCCTGCCCTGCGGGAAGTCCAAGGCCCTCCCCCTACATCCAGGCCTAGGGAGCTGTGCATCCAGATAGACTAGGGTCCCAAAAAGCCAGAACATGCTATAAAAACAAGTCTCACTGCCCTTATCAATGGCTTCTGAGTCAGCCCCCATTATCAGTCACAATCAGAGAGTCTGATTTGATCACATGCTCATTCAGACCGGGTCCAGCTGGATTTGGTGAGCTCCCATTAGAACAGGCACACTGCCTCAGTTGGTGGACCAACCCCTAGCGGTCCTGACTTCTTTGCTCATCTTCTCCCTCCTTCTGCCTTTCCACTGGACCTTGGGAGCTCAGTCCGTTGCTCTGATGAGGGTCTCTGTCTCTATCTCCATCTGTCGCTGGACGAAGATTCTATGGTGATATTCGAGATAATCATCAGCATGATAGTGGGGCAAGGACAGTTCAGGCACCCTCTCCTCTGCAGTCCAAGGACCTAGCTGGGGACATCCTCGTGGACACCTGGGATCCCCTCTAGATCCAAGTCTCTTGCCAACCCTAAAATGGATCCCGTAATGTAGGTATCTTATTCCCTGCACCTATATCTGCCCTTTCTCCATCTCTACCCTCCCACTCTCCCAAGCTGTTGCCAGTCTTTCCCTTTTCCCTTCTCCCCTTTCCCCCAACCTCACTCCCACCCCTGCCCTCACCCCCATGCTCACAACTTTTGCCCTGCAATCTTGTTTGCTTCCAATTTCCAAGAGGATCTATATATGTTTTCCTTTGGGCTCACCTTGTTATTTGGCTTCTCTGGGCTTGTCAACTATAGGCTTAATGACCTTGGTTTATGGCTAGAGTCCACAAATGAGTGAGTACATACCATATTCATCTTTTTGGGTCTGGGTTATCTCACTGAGAATAGTGTTTTATATTTCCATCCATTTGCATGCAAAATTCAAGATATGATTTTTTTTTAACCGCTGAGTAGTACTCTAAAGCATATATATTCCACACTTTCTTTGGCCATTCTTCCATTGAGGGGCATCTAGGTTGTTTCCAGGTTCTGGTTATTACAAATAATGCTGCTGTGAACATAGTTGAACAAATGCTTTTGTAGTATGATTGGGCATCTCTTGGGTATATTCTCAAGAGTGGTAGTGCTGGATCCTGGGGTAGGTTGATCCCAAATTTCCTGAGAAACCGTGACACTGATTTCCAAAGTGGTTGCACAAGTTTGCATTCCCACCAGCAATGGATGTGTGTTCCCCTTACTCCACATCCTCTTTAGCAAAGGCTATCATTGGTGTTTTTGATTTTAGCCATTCTGACAGGTATAAGATGGTATCTCAGAGTTGTTTTGATTTGCATTTCCCTGATCGCTAAGGAAGTTGAACATGACCTTAAGTATCTCTTGGCCATTTGAACTTCTTCTGTTGAGAATTCTCTGTTCAGTTCAGTGTCCCATTTTTTAATTGGGTTAATTAGAATTTTAAAGTCTAATTTCTTGAGTTCTTTATATATTTTAGAGATCAGACCTTTGCCTGGTGCGGGGTTGCTCATCTTCTCCCTTTCAGTAGGATGCCTCTTTTGTCTTAATGATAGTGTCCTTTGCTTTACAGAAGCTTCTCAGCTTTAGTAGGTCCCATTTATTCAATGTTGCCCTATTGTCTGTGCTACTGGGGTTATATGTAGGAAGTGGTCTCCTGTGTCCAGGTGTTGCAGTCTACTTCCCACTTTCTCTTCTATCAGGTTCAGTGTGGTCAGATTTATATTGAGGTCTTTAATCCATTTGGACTTGAGTTTTGTTCATGGTGATAGATATGGATGTATTTTCATTCTTCTACAGGTTGACATCCAGATATGCCAACACCATTTGTTGAAGATGCTTTCTTTTATACATTGTATACTTTTATCTCCTTTGTTGAAAATCAGGTGTTCATAGGTTTGTGGGTTAATATCTGGGTCTTCTATTTGATTCCATTGGTCTACTTCTCTGTTTTTATGCCAATACCAAGCTGTTTTCATTACTGTTGCTCTGTAATAGAGTTTGAAATCAGGGATGGCAATGCCTCCAGAAGTTCCTTTATTGTATGGGATTGTTTTGGCTATCCTAGGTTTTTTGTTTTTCCATATAAAGATGATTATTGTCTTCTCCAGATCTGTGAAGAATTTTGTTGGGATTTTGATGGGGATTGCATTGAATCTATAGATTGCCTTTGGTAGAATTGCCATTTTTACTATGTTGATCCTACCCATCCAAGAGCATGGGAGAACCTTCCATTTTCTGGTATCCTCTTCAATTTCTTTCTTCAAAGGCTTAAAGTTCTTGTCGAATAGATCTTTCACTTTTTTGGTTAGAGTTACCCTAAAATACTTTATGTTATTTGTGGCTATGGTAAAAGGTGAAGTTTCTCTGATTTCCCTTTCTGCTTCTCTATCTTTTGTGTATAGGAGGGCTACTGATTTTTTTTTTTGAGTTGATCTTGTAATCTTCCACATCACCGACGGTATTTATCAGCTGTAGGAGTTCTTTGGTAGAGTTTTGGGGGGTCACTAATGTACACTATCATATCATCTGGAAATAACGAAAGTTTGACTTCTTCCTTTCTGATTCGAATCCCCTTGATCTCCTTATATTGCCTTATTGCTATTGCTAGAATTTCAAGCACTATGTTGAAGAGATATGGTAAGAGTGGAAAGCCTTGTCTTGTTCCTGATTTTAGTGGAATGTCTTTGAGTAAATGTTTCCAAAACACAGTTGGTCACTAAGCCTGATCTCTGGTAAGCCAGCAGAGAAATCAAAGTTCAGACTTTTAGAGTGCTTAAACTGAGAAAGAATCTAAGGACTAACCAACCAATGGGGAGCCACCAGAGCTGAATCTGAGATTCGACCACAAGAAGGAACCAGTCTCCTTGGGTCTGCTGTGCCTTCTAGGAACTTGGGATATCTCTTAGAGTTACAGAATGTGTTCAGGCTCATTCTCAATCACCCTAAAAGATGCTGACCTTTGCAAAAGCTGCCCCTGATGGAATGAAAGCCCTCCCCATGGGCTCCTCTTGCACCTGAGCTCCTGGCTGGGTTTTGCTTTGTGAGGCAGGTGTGGCCCTAAGGGCAGGAAAGACAAGGTGAGGACAGAGAACTGCAGTGTCCTCTGGAGCTGGACTTGGGCACTTACAGGATGAGAACAGGGAGGAAGCAGCAGTTCAGGGCAGCTGCTCACAATCAAGATTCCCACCCAGCAGGGACAGGATGGGAGGAGCCCCTTGCAGAGCCCTGCAGAGACACTTCCCACACTCCCAGCAGTGAAACTAGCAAAGCTGCAGGGGCTCTTCAGGTGCCCAGGGGTGTCCTGCAGATTAGGTGTTCTGTTGCTGCCCAGAGCAGGGCCTCTGCCCAATGCTGACCTGATACATTGTATCCCTTCCAGGAATCCCTCCCCAGAATGTCTCCCGCAGGTCCCCCTTTGAGTTAGGATTTCTATTACATTCCTCTAGAATTCCCTCAGCGTCCCCTGAATTAGAAGCTGAACATGTGTAGAGCTGGGAATGCGGTGAATTGGCACAGTGGGTGCCTAGCAGGGTGGAGTCCTGGGGTGGATCCTGAGCACTGTGCACACCCAGGTGTGCTGACACGTGCATGTGTCTGTCTTAGTCACTCTTCTGTTTCCGTGACAAACTGAGGCACCTTATAAGGACAGGGCTTGATTTGGGGCTTGCAGTTTCAAAGGTTTAGAGGTCATGGCCACCACAGTGGGGAGCATGGCAGCAGGCAGGGAGGCATGGTGCTGGGGCAGGAGGTGAGAGGTCACACTTGAGACACAAACCTGAGCCAGAGACAGAGAGACACTGGGAATGCCCAGAATGTATTGAAATCTCAGAGCCCACACCCATGTCACACATACTCCAATAATTCCAGATGTCCTAATCTGTCCCAATCAGTCCCACTAGCTGGGTACCAAGTATTCAAAGATATGAGCCAATGGAGGCAATTCTTATTAAATCACCAGAGGATGCACTGCTTTGGAGCTGGCAGCAGAAGGATCAGGAGCTCAAAGGGCGTCCTCATCAATAGGTGACTTTGATGCCCAGACAGCCTGAGATACATGAGAATTACCTAAAACCAGAAAGGCTGTATCAGGGAAACAATGATGAAGGGGAAGCCCAGCCAATCACCTTGTTTGTAGGGCATGATCCCCTTAAGCTAATATTTACATATAAAATCTTGCAGGTGTGCTTCCCGCTCCCTCTTTGTTTTTCCTGTCCTTTGAGGGAAATCTGGCTTTGTAAGTCCCTCTTTTCTTAACCTTATTAAAGCTGAATATTTATAATAAAGCTAGTCTGGTTAATTCTATCAAACACCCGTCCCAATTTTCAGTCTCACCCCCACTTCTGCACGCCTATCTCATGTGTTCCTTATATTCTCGGATCTACTAAAATATTACATATGAGCCACATGAGATATGACAGCGTAGTCTGAGTTTGGTTTAATGGTGTACTGATTCTTCTGAATTGCTAGTGATTATATAAAATTCTTTACAACTTTTTGTTTGGTTTTGTTTTGGAGCCTGGACATCCCATGCTGGGCTGGAGCTCTCTCATGTTCAGCGTGGTCTCCAGCCGCTGGCAGTACTCCTTCCTCAATCTAGCAAGTGCAGGTGTTAGAGGGATGAGCCACCATAGTTGTCTTTTACAGAGTTGATCCAGTGCCTCCTCTGTTTTTTCCTAAGGCCTTCTTGGTAATTAAAAGCATAAAATGCTCAGACAGCCATCTACCGCTTCGTGAACTTTCTTAGACACAATTCCACTCCCATCTCCATGCAAAGATTTGACTTTGTGGTCAGGTCTGCCACCAGCCTCGAACCTCAGTGACAAGAATGAAGGCGGCTGATGCACTCTCTGCCAGCATGTAATGCTAGAATCTCTGATCTACATGCCGCCCTGTAACTGCCTCTCTGCTGTCACACATAGAGACAAGATGGAGCTCAACTCAAAATCAGTCCCCAGGAGCTGCCTTGCTGGTGCCACCCTATCCTAAGTGAGTTCTCACGCCAGAGGATCCAGTCTTTTGTCACCTGTCTGTCCTGCCCCCTGCCTGGAAATCAGAGAGTCTGGCTATAGGCTTCTGCTGGGAACCTAACGCCACTTTCACCCTAAAAAGTATTAGAGAAAATGTCTCTGCCACAGGGACCCTGATACTCTCCAATATCCCTCAATTCAGTCGTTCCTGGTGCCAGGTCCTGAATTCTCCTGGAAACACCATGGTGTGCCCTTTCTGTCTCTCTGCCTACTTAAGGCAATCTGACTCCAAATAAACTCCTTATTGTGCAGTAATCCCTCAGAGTGTCCCCTTGAACCAACTGCCTCATCCAAAAATCTGGCACATTCCTCTTTAAAAGCAAAACAAAGAAGAGCAGGGTCTTCTTCTGTAACTGAGCCTGGCTCAGATGTGCAGCCACCTGTCTCTGCCTCCTGAGTGCTGGGCCTGCATCCAAACCATCATGCCAGGCTCTGGTACTCACTCTCAGCAATTCTTTATTACAGCCACAGCAAGGAGACAAAACAGACACCACATTGGATACAATTTACATGAGGTAAATTCCTAGAACTATTGTTTCCGTTTGTTTCACAACATAGCAAGGTAAATTCATTGGCATCACTGTTATCACCTTCACTGTAAAACGGAAACCATAGGATTTACATACTTGATAGAACTAAATAGTACAATAATACTCAAGGATCTGAAAAAGTGTTGTTATCTACTCCCCCAGGCCCAAGACTTCAGGGAGCACCAGTGGTCTAGGATGCAGGGAAGAACGGAGACTAGGGTATTAGAAGCCTAGAAGTCTGCATTGGGGCAGTTGTTTGTTGGGGTAGCAGGCTGGTTTGTATATAGCATGAAGACAAAGGGGTAAGCAAAAAGCATTACTTTGCGCACACAGGTTGGAATGAGGGCAAGAAGGACTTATCAGTTCAAATACCACAGAGTGCCTGCCTAGGGGGAAGTGCAGGGAGGGAACAGGAATGCTGCAGCAGCAGAGGTGGCAGGCCCCTTAGTTTATCAGCTGACAGACTGCTAGCAAAATAACGTGTCTTGTTGCTAGCTTTCGGGCAGGGAAAAAAAGAATTGCTGGCTTTTAAAATGACGTGACCTTTTGTCCCTATGAAGTAGATCCAGGTTTTCCAACCCAAGTCAGGTTGAAGGTCCTATTCCTATAATAAATCTCTCAGAGATTTTGAGCTACAGTCACACCCAACTGACATGTTTGATTCTGAAACCTCTCGGAAGCAAAATATATATACACAACATACTGGAGTAGACTTGATGACACTTCCCAGGACCTAATTAACAAAGTCAAATATTAGCAAAGTCAAATATTAGCCTCCCTCAGCCCTATCCAGTTGCTCATTGCAGCATCGAAACCCAGTACAGCATCTTTGCCGCCAAACTAACATACAACCATTTAGTGACTGCGAAGATGTTTTATTCTCAGTGAATTTATTCCCTTTTAAATACTTACATAATCCATTTTGCATTTGTGTATACTACCACATGTGTGGGAAGCAGAGGATAATCGGTAGGAGTTGGCTGTCCCTTTACAGGTGGCTTTGAGTGACTAAGCCCTGTCAGCAGCCTTGCTCTTATCCTCAGGGACTTAGAACAGACCCCACATTTATTTTTTTACACCAACCTAGAGAATAGGAACACGATTAATATCAAAAATGCAAAGATAAAATGACATAGGCATAGGCCTTTGAGGATGTCATTCAGGGCTACACTGCTATGGGGAGTGGCAGAAATGGAGCAGAGGAAGGTGCTCAGAACACACAAAGTCTTAGTGGGTGCTGTTGGAGATATTTCCTTCTTAGGTTTTGATGAAGCACAGCATTGTGGCTAAACTGATGTAACACTAAGGGCTCATTCCTAGGCTAGACTCTCTGACATATATTTTCAAAAGTAATAGACAAGCTGGAGAAGAACTTTCTGTCATCTTCTGTCAGCGACAGAGGAATGGGGTTGTGGAGACTTGGCAGAGCTGAGACAAGTGGCTCAGGGGCAGAGCACCTCCTCAGCATGCACAAGGCCCTGGATGCCATCTGTGGCACCACAAAACAGGAAGTGCAGGTTGGCAGAGGTCTTACCTCACCTTGTGAGTAAGAGACATTGTGTGTGGGAATCTTGGAAGAGATAAATTACTATAACCTCGTAAACAGACAAGTAACTGGATCAAAGAATAGATCCAATAGTGGTTTGTACTTAGAAGGGAAGGTCACTGACATAGGAAGACAAAAGTAGAAAAAGTTAAGATGATCCCACAGTGCTTAGACATATAGATACATCTGAAACAGGAGCGCTGTGCTGACATGCGTGAGGGCTTATGAGGGTGGCCCACAGACTGTCAATGGCTTTGAACACATCATAGGATTAAAATATGGATAAACTGCATTAGGGAAGTTCGGGTCACAGAATCTATAGATGAGAGCTCCATGGTTGGAAACATCATAAAATGAGAGAGTGCAAGCTTCTCGGTCCAGGAAAACTCCAACACGAGTGGGAGGATGAGTCGGAGAGAGGAGCAAGACACTGGCATTGTGGGTGACAGAACATTCTTCAAAGGCATTATACACAGACCTGTGCGTCATCCCTATAACCCAGTAGCCACATTTGGGCTGATAATTTACATGTTGGTTAACGTCAGAATCATCTTTAACTTCATGTTTAGGTTGATAATTCACACATTGCCTGTCCCCCAAATCATGTGTGTATGTAAGGTCCATCACATCTTCCTGCGGATAATTTGCTTGTATAACACCAGAATTATAGTTCATTACAGAAATAGGTGCATATGATGATGTATAACCTAAGTCATATTTGTATCCATAACCAAAGGTATATTCAGGCTGATAATTTACATCTTGGTTAACATCAGAATTATATTTGACTCTGAAGCCATTTTCATTCACTGTACTAAGCTGGGGTTGAGCACATCTTCCATCATTTATTCCCAGGAGCCAGGCATCACATCTAGACACGTCTACTTCCCAGTAATGTTTCCCTGAGTGCAGAGCTGGAAACCCCAGGACACCCAAATCATAGGACTCAGAAACTTGCAAAGTTCTTCTATAACCACTTCTATGTTGTATTTGTCTTTTGTCCACGTTAATGACAATGTTTTTATTGTTGGGTTGACGCAGGGTCACGTGAACTGCAAAAAATGAGACATAAATTAAGAGTCACATGAGAAACAAGGTACTGCCTTATTTGTGATTTAAGTAGCAGAGGTCTGAGAAGAAAGTGAGAGGGAATTTGGTAGAGCCATGTTTAAAGTCAAAGAGAGGCAGATTGTTGTGCATATTGGGAGCAGTAACATAAAACCTAAGTATTTGTAGAGAAATAAACTCTGAAAGACATTAAGACAAGAGAGCCTGATGGTGGGATTTCTCCTTACCCCAGTGGCGTTGGGCATCCAGGAGCCCTGAAATGATGAAAATGCGCAGCATTAAATGCAAGCAAGGGAATCAGAACATTAAGTCAATGTGCTCTGCAGAGTGGGGGAAGATCTGGAAACTGTGACATGGGACGGGATGAATGATGATGTCCATTAAATACGATGACATCACTGGCACACAGTTTCTGTTCTTCTGAGTTCCTCTACCCATAATAAGAAACATCACTTTCTGTTCAGAGAGTGCAGCCTCAGCCAACGCTATAGTCCCCCAGGTAATCACAGAATGCTCTCACCTTGAAACACTTGCAGCATGCCCTTTAGATCCGGAGCTTGGAAGATCTTTCTCTGTTTACTCGGGACCATTTTGGGCTGTTTCAGTCTTAAGTTCTGACTCCTAGGGACAAAAGATTGACATCCACATCTCAGACAGTGTGACCTCTGACCACCATGGACTCCCTTATCACTCCCTATCATTCTAATCTAAGAGGTCCTGTAACTTTCCTGAGAATTCTGAGCAGGGAGAGAGTAGACACTAACTCTGCAGAGATGAGACACACTCATGACCCCTCCCGTTTAGTAGCTTGTGACGTTGGGAAAGCCTTAGCTCCTCACTTGTACAATTAAATAATTTGCTCCTGCATTACCCCCTAACCAAAAACTCTTAAAAAAAAAAAACGATGAATTAGTTACTTTAAAACAAACTAAACCAAGGTACCTAAAAAAAGGTAAAGTGTGGCCAGACATGGTGCCACATGTCTTTAATCCTTGCACATAGGAGGTAGATTCAGGAGGATCTCTGAGTTTGAGGCTAGCCTGGTCTACATAGTGAGTTCCAGGACAGTCAGGGTTACACAGAGTAATCCTGTCTCAAAATAAAAAATAAAAAAATAAGGAGATGTTGGTTTTCAAGTCTAGAGTGCAGAAGTTGCTCCTGGGTACAGAATGTGGGAAAGCCAAGAATTCAAACCCTATTATCAATATGGACCCTATTGGCCAGCATCTGATTCTTCTGATTATTCAAGTTCTTTTGGTACAATGACAAAACTTGGCAAAGGCGATAGGAACACCAAGTTAATAAGAATATGAGTCCCACATGTTCAGAATGACCTGAAGTTGACAGCCTCATGTTATTTTATATACAAGGGTACAGATTTTCAAGTTCTTCTAAAGAATGTGGGTCACATAGAGCAGGTGTTTTACCTTGGCCAAATATTGTGCCCAGTGACTCAAGTCTGTTTCTGAAAAATCTAAGTTCAACCACAAAGGAACTCAGGATCTCTACTATTTCCATGAGAAATACACAGATGCACAGGAATTTTTCCCAGCATACAATTCTGTGAGCACTGCAGACAAGGAAGACATACCCTATCTAGGATGAATCTATGAATCAAGAACCTGTGAGCTGCAGACAGAGCCAGACACAAGCACAGAGCGCGGACAGAACGATGGAACCACAAAGAGTCTGAAAGCTCCTGTGGCTCCATTTGCCTCTTTCCACTGCTGAGCCTGACTCTGTGACTCCCCTTACCCAGACCCCTAAAAGAGAATCAAATCTGTCCCCAATAGTTACAAAACGGTCAGAGCTGCCTTTCCCCACATTTTCCTCCGTCTTATTGGAACTTCAGAATAACACTGTCTAAATTTTTCCAAACCCATGAGAGATTTATTCTAGTCAGATACTAAATAAATCATTCTCATCACACAACAGGGCTATTCTTCCATGTCAGCCCACACATACCTTGTTAGGACATGATTCACACCCTAGAGAGAAGGGAGAAAACACAGTCAATACCATGTTCTGCATGTTCTTGCAAATCCTGGTCTCACTCTCACTGGGTACAGAGACAAAGTCAAAGAGAATCAAATCCTTCACCCACCATTCTCCATGACATGATGTAATTATGATGCATGATTCATTATTTGACATACATGTAAACTAAGAGACTATTTTGTGTCCCATACTACAAGGTTTTGAAGAACAAAGATGAGTAAGGAGTCGTTTGGAAGCTTACATAGGATTTGCAGTGCATAGAAGCAGACACATAAACACGTGACTTTATCTATGTTCCATGTCAGCTCTTCATCACCTTGTTTACAACTAACAATATGAGAAGCTGATTCCTAACTTATTTGAGTCACTTAGACACAATTCAATATGTTAGTAATGGAGAAGTCACAAGAACCAGATGCTTAGATTGTCTGAGAAGTAAAACCAACTTGCCACATTTCTCCTTCTCTGTTTCTTCCCTTTCTGAAACAGTACTGGAAGGAAAAGACAGTAATCTAAATCTGTGTGTCTCTCAATCTGACAAACTGTTGTAACAATGACAACAAAGAAATGGGAATTTTCCCAGGAATCTCACACTGGGAGAAGGAAAGGAGCTCCAGTCTGAGGGACAGCTGTCCTCCTAACAAGACTTCCAGCAGTTCTAATTACTTGTCAGACCACCTTAAAGTATGAGACTGTAACCTAAATAATGATGGGAGAATGATGGACAGGACCACACCTTGACATGGGCCACTCATTTGCCCACATCCTTGGCTCTTTATTTAAACTTTGATCTCACTTAAAGAAACTGAAGATGGACAGAGGTTTTTTTTTTTTTTTTTTTAAATCTTGTTGTTCATCTTTCAAAAGGAGCCACATTAATAAATATTCTTTTCCTGCTTTCCAATATTAATTTGGCTCTTTTATATGTGTTTATTGAGGTCAGATATCAAGACCTTCTAAGGACCTCACTTCACAAACTCCATTTTAAAGAAAGGGCTTCATCTTAAGTCCTATAATGAGCTGGGGGGGGGGGTGGGAGATCTCAGCTCCAGAAATGTGCTGCCATAGCAGAAATGTGAACAGATGCCATAAAAAATGGCCAATTTAGAAGATAGGGAGCAGGGCCATAAGATTTAACAAGGTCCAGATGTTCTTGGGAGGCATCCTGTCCTTGAAGATACCTTGTCAGCTATTAATGGCTCTTTGTTAGGTTTTCTCAACCAAAAACTGACCAGTGGTTTCAGAATCAATGTTACCCTATTCCCTCCTTACCCACTGCCAAGACGGAAGGACATGAACTCCCCCGATTACACTGTTTCCCCTTTAAAAGTTCTACCCTTCCAGGGCTCTCTGTCACACTTTCTGCACCCACCATGCTCTGGGTGCTGGAAAGGTGTTGGTCCAAACTTAAGTTTGAATGTTATTAAAAACCTTCATGTAATTTGCGTCGGAAACCCGGCTCTGAATTCATTTGGGAACCTGAAACTTGGGCATAACAACCTGACTCACCAGATCTACTTTTAGTATGTTAAGGCTGTACCTCCGTCAGTCATCTGTTCTGGATTTGAGACCTAACAGTATCTGAGTACTGCTGCATGCTTGGGTTCCACTGGATATTGGTATATTTACCAAAATTTACACACTTTGAGAAATGTGATCCGATTTATCCCAGCAGGTGATAATTGCCAGTAGCTCCTTGGGTGTGGTTGAACTTCCTAAGAAAGTCCACGTTCCATAATTGCATTTGGTGTGGTTTAGGCATGCACAGGACTTTGGCTTCGTACCACAACCAATCCCAGTTTATATGTGCGGCTGCTAAGCTGTGTCCAGAAGACGCTATCTTTCTGGTAGACCTTCTTCACCTCTGGCTCCTATTCCCCTTCTGCCCCTTCTTCTGAAATGATCCCTAACTCTTTAAATTGGAGGTGGAGCATATATACTCCATTTAAAGCTGGAAACTCTCTCTCCTCCTTGGCCAATTGTGGCTTTCACAATGTAACCCTGCTGGCATGGAACTCACTATATAGACTAGGCTTTCTTTGAAGGTACTTAGCTTCATTTGTATTCCACCTGCTGGGATTAAAGGAGTAAGTCAGCACACATGGCTGTAGGTTAGGAAGCTTATACTTTCTTTTCATTGTTGTGTGCTTCTCATATTTTTTTCTGTGTGTGAGAAGTTCCCAAGTCCTTGGGTCATAGTCAGTAGGTGCTTGGCTACACATGGCTTTAGTTTATATAACATAAACCAACAAAAATCGATCCCATAGTAAAAATAATTCTGGGAGAGAACTATTCTAATTATAGATAAATTCCGCTGTTCAAACTTGTTCTCATAAACACATCTACAAGCTCATGTCCACTGAGTCATTTGCACCGTAAACAAAACAAAGTCAACTGTAGAACCAATCAACAGATGAATGGATAAAAATGATATGATAAACATATATATTAAATTATGAACCATTCAAAGCAAGTATTGCCATTTGTGGTAATGTGGCTGAACTCAGAAAATTTATGTTATACTAAATCTGCTGGGCACAGAAAAACTACACTAAGTGATATTATTTCATATGTGTCATGTGCAAAACTTGGTTTCACAAAGTATAGATTAGAATTTGGATCATCAGGGGCTGGGGGCAGAGAAAGGTTTGCAGATTCTTTGGTGAAGAGATACAATTTCAGACTTGGAGAGTTTGGTGGCTGTAGTTAGTACCTATGTGAACTAGCTTGGCTTAGCCAAATATGTATAATTCTATCTAATATAGGTGTTCTAAATAATAATTAAATCAATAAAACGGAGACCAATAAATTAAAAGAGTATGAAGTACTAGCACTAAGCCTGCAGGTGGCAAGCCAGTCCTTTTGTCTGAGAGGTCCCTGGCCAGCAAGGGGCCCTGATCCTGTACCAGAAGATCCATCGGAGGGGTGAGTGTGCTCCTGACCAGTGGCAGAAGCCCCGGAAAGGGAGCACAGACATTCCTCAACACCCTAAACTTTCTGGTCATTCTGCAGGGGCTTCTTTCCCCAGTTGCTGCCTCTCTCTTCCTATCCCATCCCAGCTTTTGCTCAGGCACCCCTTCCCTTCTTAGGGGTCATAAGATCCCCCAGCTCATTCTGTTTTGGGGCTGGGATGGGGTGGGGAGTGCAACCGGGCAGGAGTTCCTTTGTTTCACTAAGCCTGCAGCCAGCAAACTAGTCCTTTTGTCTGAGAGGTCCCTGGAGAGCAAGGGGCCCTGATCCTGTACCAGAAGATCCATTGGAGAACATTTGAGGGAAGAGATGGGCAGGTGCCAATGCAAGAATTCCTCCAACAATCTGAAAAACAACATGATAACACCAGAACCCAGTGAACATACAACAGGAAGACTTGAACACCCTAATCCAGAAGATGTAGAAAAAATAGACATTATGAAGGTGATAGTGCTTAAACATGATGTGAAAAACTCCCTTAAAGAAATGGATGAGAAGAATAACAAAAAGATTGAAGAAATGAATAAATCCATAAAAGATACCCTAGGAAACCAAGAAAAACAATCAAACAGATAATGGAAACAGTTCAAGAATTGAAAACTGAAATGGAGGCAATGAAGAAAACACAAACCGAGGGCCGGCTTGATATGGAAAATTTAGGTAAATGAACAGAGACTACAGAGACAAGAATAACCAAAAGAATACAAGAGATAGAAGAAAGAATCTCAGATGCTAAAGACACCATAGAGAAAATAAACACACTGATCAAAGAAAACAGCAAATCCAACAAATTCTCATCACAAAGCATCCAGGAAATCTGGGATATAATAAAAAAACCAAACCTAAGAATAACAGCTCAAAGGCCCAGAAAATATATTCAACAAAATTATAGAATAAAACTTTCCCAACCTAAAGAAGGATATTCCTATAAGGGTCAAGAAGCATACAGAACACTGAATAAACTGGATCAAAAAAAATCCCCTAGCCATATAATAATCAAAACACAAAACATACAGACTAAAGAAAGAATATTAAGAGCTGCAAAGGAAAAAGGTCAAGCAACGTATAAAGGTAAACCTATCAGAATTACAACTGACTTCTCTATGGAAACCATGAAAGCCAGAAGGTTTTGGATAAATGTGATGCAGAAACTAAGAGACCATGGATGCAAGCCCAGACTACTATACCCAGCCAAGCTTTCATTCACTATCAATGGAGAAAACAAAATTTTCCAGGATAAAAACAAATTTAAACAATACATAGCCACAAATCCAGCCTTACAGAAAGTAATAGAAGGAAAATCACAACCCATTAATCCCAACAATGCCCACAATAACTCAGACATTTAGCAACCCTTCACCAGCAGAACTCAAAGAAGGGAAATACACAAACTTTACCACCAAAAAAAAAATAATAATAACTGGAGTTAAAAACCACTGGTCATTAATATCACTTAATATCAATGGACTCAATTCACCTATAAAAAGGCACAGGCTAAGAGATTGGATATGAAAATAGGGTCCAACATTCTGCTGTTTACAAGAAACACACCTCAACCACAAAGACAGACATCTACTCAGAGTAAAGGGTTGGGGAAAGGTTTTTCAGCAAATGGACCTAAGAAAGAAGTGGGTGTGACTATACTAATTTCTAACAAAATTGACTTCAAACTAAAATCAATCGGAAGAGATGGAGATGGTCATTTTATACTCATAACAGGAACAATTCATCAGGATGAAATCTCAATCCTGAATATCTATGCCCCTAATATAAAAGCACCCACTTATGTAAAAGAAACATTACTAGAACTCAAGGCAGACATCAAAGCCCACACACTAATAGTAGGAGACTTCAACACTCCTCTCTCACCAATGACAGGTCAATCAGACATAAACCTAACAGAGAAATAGAATTTATGGAGGTAATGAATCAAATAGACTTAATAGACATCTATAGAACATTCCACCCAAATAGGAAAGAATATACCTTCTTCAGCATCTTATGGAACCTTCTCGAAAAT